CCCCGAAAAACCCCATAGCAGCCACACTACGACGTTCTAACAGGTCCCAATTTTCCCGCCTTTTGGGTCATTGACCTGACCTGGAAGATCAACCGATGACCTAGGACCTTAAAATTGGGTATCATCGGCTTTCTCTCGTCACGGGCAACACGCTCGTTTTTTCCGCGAAGCTCTAGCTTGATCAGGAGCGAAACGGCAAGGGGTTATACCTTATACGTTCGCGGCTGAGTATTAATTTGGTTCAAAACAATGATGTAGATAAGTTAGTTATTTAAATCTAAATATCCTATGACGAGAGCGATGGACATTTTTGGTATGCAGTGTTATCCATTGAAAACAGGTCAAAGCTATTGAGTTTTTAATTTAGTGGTCGCCGCTTACTAATCATGCGGCATACACGCCGCACATAACCGCCAATGCCGCAACGCAGCTTAGATTTCGAAGTAAGCATTTAGTCTCACCCTTACTGAATGCCAACGATAAAATAATTGTCTAGACCGAAGCTCTTAGCCGTTTTTTGAACGAGGACATCCCAAAATGTTGACTTGGTAATTCGTTTTTGACCGTGGTCAATTTGCTTACACCAGTTATTACCACACCCCTCAGGCTAATGTATTTGAATAGGCCAGGCATACAGTAAAGCCCCAGACAAAACTCTATAACATGTAAAACTGTTTCTCACTACACCGAGGGCAATGAGGATGCTTATTGCCACAGAACAGGAGCCTGTGTGGAATGTTGACCGCACACACCGCGGGCGAATTATGCGTCTGGAGCCAGGGTAGATCGTCGTAACGTGATCATCGGACGGATAGTCTTGATCGGGTGTGTTTAACCGTGTTTTATACTCGCCAAAAAATGTTTAAGGAATGCTCCACGGAGTATGACAAATTTGTCGCCACTGCTGAAAAAGAAACTAAAACTAAAGGGGAGCGCGGGCTACAGCGACCTTTTTAAAAAGCTTATAGTGAAGGTGATCTATTTGTATTCAAGGGGCGTCGACAGGGGGTCATCACAACAACACCGGCTCCCAAAAGGACTGAATCGGGAAAGTCTTCAAGTGTTCAAGTGTTCACGGAACGGTGAAGACCTAGTAGATACGATAGCCACCTCAGTTCGGTGAAAGGGTTTCCACCACCTGGGAGTGTCTCAGTCCTCAATCCTCCATCCTCAGCACAGCTGGAAGCCAGGCTCCCAAAAAGGGCCAAGTATTGCACAGCGTTGGTGTGGTCGACAATCGTTAAGAATAAGAACGAGGGAGTTTTATTTGTGTTTGTTGTCGTTCCAGGAGAACCACAGCGATGAAACTAGAGATTTGGGCTGCTGCTTGCAAAGGTTTGTGCTGCTCTTCACCAAGCATTGTGAAACTGGTTGACAAGTTTTGCTGCACGCGCACTTGTGCACGTCTGTGCACCCATAAACCTGTTTTACCTGTTACCTGACGGAAGTAGAAATGGACGGTTCAGACGCCAGGTTTACGCGACACATTATTTTCAGCATGAATGCAGAAGTGTGTATTGAATTTTCTCGTACACGCATGGAAAACACATGGTCAAAGTAAAAAAATAAAGGTGTGCTAATGGTCTGTAATATGCTAACGGTCCTCCTTAAAACAGTGAAACTTTCACAACAGACGCATTATTACGTACTTGACGGCACGCAGAATCACACACTTCACAGCTGGCCTAAGCAAACGACCTAGTCCGCAGTTAATGCATGATAATGTATGATGTAATACCTACATCATAATCCATTCAGTATAATACAATGCAAGACACTAATATGACGCCAACGAAGTGTTCGACAGATGCGACTGACCAAACACTCCACGGTTATATGATACACGTTTCGTATGATACACGTTTCGTACATGATACACGCTTCGATACACCGCTCCAAAAGCAAGTGGCAAGAACGTCAGCCCACAACCTAAGCAGTAATCAGTTTGCTGGAAGCGATTTTCACCAAATTAGTTGAAACACGACCAGCATACGAAAGATACCCAAGAACACAACCACACTAAAGCAGTCCGTATATTGTCCAGCCAGCACGTCACTGGGCATTTCTTACAAGAGTTACTGGATTTTCAGGCCACGATTTCTTCCGTCACAACAGGACGACATCGAAACTCTGCAGTGCTGGTTTGTTTACAAAAAGAAAAGAAAAAAACTCCGAGCTTCAGCTAAATCAACATTAGCCTTTGGCTATCAGCCTCAACATTTTCGTCATTATAGGGTTGCTCTAACTGCTCAAGATTGACTTTCTTCCTAAGTCAGGTTAGCCAATAGACCACGGCGTTCCGCGACTTAACCCGCGCCCCGTAGGGCTACCGGCGGACCCTACCACCCGTAGGGGGGGGGGGCGTTTCGGCCCCCCCCCCTAAGATCTCGGAAAGTTACCGGCCGATTTTCAAAATTCAAACGGCGTTTGATAGCCCTACCCGGGAACTACCTTGTGACCAAATTTCATTGACCTAGGTCAAACCGATGACGTCACAGGTCAGGTCAAAGGTCAGATTTTCACCGTTCACAGGCAATTCAAGAAATGTGCTGTGAAATCGAGTAAATTGGTAATTTATTGAAAACCATCGATGGTATATTGTTCGTCAAACACATACTTTGCTATCTGAGGTCACTGATACCAGGTCAGGTCACAGCGAGGTCAGGTCACCGGGGGTCACAATATGAATGTGTCGTGTGATACATGTTTTATGGTCCATTTTACATGATAAATGCGATTATGTGGGTTAGGCAGCCTTTGGGGCCAGCTTAGGTCACGTTTTGGTGAAGGTCAGGTCAAGGTCAGGTCAAATTAGGTCAAATTTCAAAGTTGATATTTTTGCATAAAATGGGTATCCACTCGATGCAGCTCGTCACGGGGAGTCTAATGGTGGTCTTTGTTTTGCTCTACGAGTTCTAGAATTGCCAAAAATTGAATTTGAAAATTTGACGTCATCATTTTTGAACAGTTTTTTTTCGCTATAACTTGGCCAAAAAACGAGGTATCGATCTGAAATTTGGTATGTAGATAGAAGACGGTAGGTACTATCACATATATTCCGGTTTTTTCGAAACTCAAAAAACTTTTTGGATTTTTTGGCTAATTTATCAAAAAAAAATGCTTTTTTGATTTTTGGGGATCAAAACTCAAAAATTTCAAAAATCCGAGATAGCAGTTTTGTAGCCCTGTCAATTCTACACCTTTTATGTCTTGATCATTTTTCTGTATCTTCAAAGCTGTAGGCCTGACAGGTCTTCTCGCGAAGGTCTTTTTTCGGTCGAAAATGACAGAACATGACGTCACTCTGACGTCATTTGTGGCCAACCTATCACAGCCTCTGGAAAAAATTTTTGGTCACAATGTGTAAAATTGATGCCCGGAGGGGTCCTGAAAGTTTGGTGGCGATATCTCCAGCCGTTTAGGGGATATCGACCGAAAAGGACAAGGGGGGCCGTTTCGGCCCCCCCCCTACGGGGCGCGGGTTAACAATGGTAGCAAAGGTCTAATGACCGAACTTTTATAATATGAATCTTAGCCCATGTTTCATCATCGCCAACGCTTTGCAAGGTCAATACAGTAATTGATTGTAATTTTTGTCGTCAACAAGCGACGTTTTGTCTTTTCTAAGCCACTCAAGTCACACAGACTGCTTCTTTAGGTGCACTTTCTCATCTCCCATCAAATAGTTCCTCATGGCCTTCTCCTACAAGACTTATCTTCTTACATGGGCCGTAAGAGTTCCTCAGGGTTTCCGTCTTTCCCCTACGAGACAAGTCTCCTTCCGTCGAAGAATTCCACGGGGTTCCTCATTTGTTCTACATACCTCATCTTCGTCTATCAGACTCAGCAGTTCTTCAGGTTCCTCCTTCCTAGGTGCCCCGTCTTCTACCATCGGGCACGTAAGCCTGTACCTCCTCACTGCTCAATCCATGCACCATCGACAAGTGCTTCCGCAGGTCGGGCCGGTTGTTGGAGACCTTGCCGCAGAGATGGCACACAGTGAGTCCCTGATGCAGCTTCGTGTGCGACATGAGCGAGCGATGAGAGCGGTACCGCTGGCCGCAGAGCGTGCAGACGAAGTCGGCGCCAGAGCCTGCAACCAGTGGAGGGAGCCTCTTCAGATCGGAGGACAGGTCTCAACCGGGGCGCGGATACAAACTCACTCAAAGGTCTTCAAAGGTCTTCATTAGCGAGGCGGATACGAACGGATACGAGTTCTTTAAAGGGGCGGAAAGCCTGCTCAGTTTAGCGACAAGGTGTCCATAGGAGGAAATCCTCCACAGCATTGCGGGCAAACCTGTCCCAACACGCAGCACACAAGTGCAGCGGATAACACCTATCCGAGCAGCCGACAAAGCCTCTTTCCTCCATTCGGTGCAAAAGTCCAACCGCGGAAGCCTGTTCATGTCCAAGTGTTCAGCGTAACGGGAAAGAGTTAGTACGAAAGCGGGTGATACCCCCTCAGATCGGTAAAATGGTGATCACCTTCAGGGTGCCTCCCTCCTCAGAACAGCTGAGCGACACAGAGAGAAAATCACTACAGTTATACGGAAAGGAGAAGGATACCGGCGAATAAAAACATCATCGATGCAACAAACTTGAGTAGACAGGATAAAGGTGAATGGTTGAATGTAGGTACAGAATCATTAACGTGTTTTGCAGAAAAGTGATGCTAAAGCAGAACACTGAAGACAAAGAAATGTAGAAAACATCACTGCTTTAAAATTAAAATTAAAATAGACTTCACGTGAGCACTGACAAGTAAACCTGTACAACCTGTTATCTCACGATACCAATGGTAGGTATATAACTGATGCAGATGAAGCATGAAGTTGGAACTATGTGGCTTTTGAACTGACAATCAGACTATCGTGTAGGCATAATTCATTTTTAACGGTGAAAATGTTGATCCTGATTGAGCCTGCAGTTGCACCATAACAGGAACATATAAGACTTCATTGCCTAAAAAAAGATGATTGTGCATCACAAACCTGGACGGCGAATTGACCAAAAATGTATTTGTCATCAAGTTACCATATCTCATTGAAGTTCTGCGCAAACAAATATGCGTCACATACTGAAGATAAAGAAATACAATACGAAATCAATATTCAATTGAAACGATAAAGCACACTGTAATGATATCATCATTAAAAAGTGACCACAATAATTAAGTAAGGGTCGTACCTTTATCACTACATGAAGATACGAGGCAGCCAAATTCTGCCTTTTTCCTCACTGTTTTCCAAAATTATTAACATACGAGTATAAAAAGTATGGTGTTGGAACTGTTAGGTATATGCAGATATACTAGCCCTTTGTGAAAAGCGATAATGTGAACACATATCACATGTGCACATTATCGCTTTTCACAAACGTCAAACTGTCATACCAGAATATACTAGCCCTATTGGTGAAGCAGGTACCACGCCATAAAACGTGAGCAAGTTCACTTTAGAACACGAGAACACAACTCTTGTCGACAAAAATAAAGCTCTTCAATAATTCCGACAAAAAATGTGTGATAGTCAACAAACTATCTTCCACACCATTCTACTATGATGTAAGTAAATGATCCATTAAATGATCCATTTAAAACCATGATCCATTAATCCATGAACCTAAGTAAATGCTCCATCTAGCATATAAAACGCATCGTTACATCATCATTATGCAGTACTTCCCAAAATGAAAAATCCCCTCCCCTCCCCAGAAAAAAAACTCTCTAATCTCAATCTCTCTAATCTCAAAACCACAGAACCCGACAATGAATCCAAATACCGAGGGTATAAATACCTACTTCTTAGTCACGACTAAAGACGTTTCCATCTCGCCTTTCCTTAGCGTCACCAGCACACCGCACACCCGACTATTCGTGCACCACAGCCTGTCCTGTGTCAACCCCCGTTTTAACCCGCGCCCCGTTGGGCTCTGCCGAGCAACGCGCCCCGTTGGGGGGGGGGCCATTTTGGCCCCCCCCTAAGATCTCGAGAACCACGCAACGTAGCGACAAGCGGCAAACGGTGTTGGATAGCCCTATCAGGGAACTACCTTGTGACCCAATTTTATTGACCTAGGTCAAACCGATGACGTCACAGGTCAGGTCAAAGGTCCAATTTTCACCGTTTACAGGCATTTCAAGAAATGCGTTGTAAAATCGAGTAAAATGCATTTCATTGAAAATCATCGATGGGGAAATGTTCTTCAAACACATATTTTGCTAGTTGAGGTCACTGATACCAGGTCAGGTCACTGAGGTCAGGTCACTGGGGGGTCACAATATGAAAGTGTCGTGTGATACATGTTTTATGGTCCATTTTACATGACAAATGCGATTATGTGGGTCAGGCAGCCTTTGGGGCCAGCTTAGGTCACGTTTTGGTCAAGGTCAGGTCAAGGTCAGGTCAAGGTCAGGTCAAATTTCAAAGTTGATATTTTTGCATAAAATGGGTATCGAATCGATGCAGCTCGTCACGGGGAGTTCAATGATGGTCTTTGTTTTGCCGTACGAGGTCTAGAATCGCTAAAAATTGAGTTCAAAAATTTGACGTCATCATTTTTGAACAGTTTTTTCGCTATAACTTGGCCAAAAAACGAGATATCGATCTGAAATTTGGTATGTATATAAAAGAGCGCAGGGACTATCACATATATTCCGGTTTTTTTCGAAATTCGGAAAAATTTTGGATTTTTTTTTTAGTTTTTCTAAAAAAATCAATTTTTTGAAATTTTTTGGGTCAAAAACCCAAAATTTTGAAAATCCGAGATAGCAGTTTTGTAGCGCCGCTTTTTGTCTATTAGACCATATAAAGAACTTTGAAATTGCTTGATAACTGTAGATTTGGTGAGCGTTTCAAGATTGCATGTTTTTTGCTCATTTTTGCTCGAACATGACCTCAGTTTGACCTCAATAACTCCTGACCTAAGGTGACCTAAGACTTGAAATTTGGTGTGAAGGTGTCAAATTGATGCCCGGAAAGGTACTGAAAATTTGGCGGCGCTGCGCGCCGCCGTTTTCTTGCTATTCAGGAAAAACCACAGGGGGGGCCCAAATGGCCCCCCCCCAACGGGGCGAGGGTTAAATAACTACTGTCAAGTGGAAAGTTCTAAGTATATAAGAAAATTTTACATTAGGAAAATTTTCCCCCACTCCAAAACTTCCCCACTCCAAAACACCATCGCACCAGGCTGACGGTAACCAGGATCTGTCCAGTAACCATCTGGAGAGTTTTCTTCACTTCATCCTCGCACCAGAATGTTCGTGCCCACAGTCTGCCCGTCTCCTTCACTCTGACACATTTTGACACATAACTGTGACACATTCTCTCCCACACCAGGCAGTCCACAGCCCCAGTCGCCTGTCTCCTTCACTCCACACATCCCCAAACCACACTACCCATCCCCATCGTAACCCGTCCTCGCCACACCCGATCCATCACACTCGACTCTGGGCACCCGCGATCTCTCCATCTCCATGTCCAGTGTCCACGCCAGCAGGCGCCTGCGGCAGCGACCTGGCTCTGACGCTCGGCACCAGCCGATAGATCTGCTCCTGCTCCAGACGATGCACGTTCTCCAGGTGTCTCCGCAGGTGGGAGACCTTGCTGGAGACGGTGCCGCACAGAGGACATATCGTCAGCCCTTCGTGGACCTTGCGATGGAGCGTCAGGGACATCTGGTGGCGATAGCGCTTGCCACAGACCACGCAGACGTAGGCACCTGGTGAAAGAGGTGGGGTCAGCACCTGATGGAAGAGCTGGGGTCAGAAACAGGCACCTGGTGAAAGAGGTGGGGTCAGAAGAATTACCTGGCGCCAACTGAGAGAGATAAGATGATAAACGTAGATCAGCTGGGCTTTATCAGTAGGAGGGCTCTATTGATTGAGCAGCAGAAAACACAAAACAAAGATGTGCTTTCATAAGAAAGCACAACATACATAAGTCAGAAGTAAAAGAGCAGATATGTGGGATCCGAAAAGAAAGTAGGTTGCAAGAATGGGAAAAAAACCGTTCAGAGAAACGCAGCATGGAAAGAAACAGCGCGTTTGTAGGCATAGGATAGCTATAAGCACGTTACTGTTCGTAGTGATCAAAACACTAGCAACAAAGGTGACTTAGAAGAGCCCAAGATATAGGAAGACAATTGAAGGAGAAAGGATTCTTCCAACATACCTGCCGAAGTCTCGGAAAAGACCGCACTGGGCGAACGTAGGATAAGGTGAATCGATTTAAATCCACGATAACCTGCGGACTGAAACTGATGGTGATATTCCCATGCGCGGCCGATGCTTTCCAATGTCCGATCTGTGCTGCCAACATTTGTTTAGCATCACTACAAGGAAAAAATGACGGAACGCTCGTATCAGCTTACTGAGAATAAGTTCAGTGCCCTCCAATCCCAGTGGAGCGGGTGACACGTTTACCAGCACTACAACTGTTTTGTTCTCACTCGAAAGTAATTTGGAATCGCTCGAAAAGGGACACTTTATGCACACTTTAGTGTACCTTGCATGCGCTAGTTCATGTTGACAGTGTTTATTCCACCAAGGCCAGCCGCGCCGGGAAACCGATGTAATTAAAGCATGAAAACTAATTCACCAAAAGCGTGCTGTCATGTGCTTTGCAAGTTCCCATTTATTCCCAGCGCTCGTCTGGCTTTCATCGTAATGGTTGGAAGTTATTGCGCCACGAGGTTTTAACTGATTTTTTTTTTTAAATACTAATTCGTCCGGGTGCCCCTATGACCACAAACCGCAAAACAGGGCCGTTGGGCAAGGCTAGATTCTTCAACATATTCCGCCTAGCAGAGCAATTTTTAAACGACATGCAATTTGAAAAAAATGAAAAAAATGAAATAAAAATGCGCCAGACATGTGGATTGGCACGTGCATCGACGTGCATAGCCTTCGAAAAATTGATTTACGTAGAGTTAAGAACGACGATTCTTGGGTTTCCTGGGCGCACGAACACCAATCTGCATGTATCCATGTATGTATGCATGTATTATTTACAACATGATCGATCCACACATGGCGTGACGATTACTATTTACTGCTCCAGGGGCGTCGCCACGGATTTTTGAGTGGGGGGGTCGGGTTTCTAGTCTTCACCCGATGGGTAGGGGTGTTTTTTTTTTGCCACACTTCCCAGTTTTGTGCGTGCGTAGGTGTGTGTGTGTGCGCGTGTAACAAATCGGCGCGCAGCGCCGCGAAATTTGGTATAACCTATTAGGTAGGTATACCTACCTACATCACTTGCGTAAACATTATCACTGGTCACTTAAGGTTAGGTCGCCATGTCAAGTTCAGTTATACGGTATACCTCTATCAAACTTTCCCCTCTCGCCATTCTTGTAGCTTTTTCTCCCATAACTTCGAAATTTGGTACACTGTATACCTAATGTATGGGGTTATACGTGTCAGCAATTCATGATTCTGAGGATTTACATCTATGATCTGGAGGCAGGTCAAATACGTGACCTCATCATTAGAAAATAATGAGAAATTAGAAAAAGCACGAAAGCCTCCTGCTTTGAAAAAGTTCGTCAGAAACGCAAAATGAGCCATGACAAATCAGCTAATCATTGCCAGGGACAGGGTGCAACTTATAGCGAGTGATGACTCGAAAGGTCATTAGTGGAAATGTCCATCGATGGCCACCAGCATTTTTTTCTACAACTTTTGACGAAGACGCGGTAGAGCGATGACAGCACCTGGAAGGTGTTGACTGTTCGATTCCCATACGAATGAGCTAGCCACAAAAGAGCTAGTGTTGTTTCAGCTAGCTCATTTGGGCTAGTGCCACAAAATAGCTAGTGCGATTGTAACTAGTCCCACAAAACCGCTAGGAGCAAAATGACAAGTGTTCTAAAGGGCTAGTAGATCGGCTCACGCCGTACCTCTTCGGGATTTTATAAGCAAAGTTCAGTTCAGATCAGATCGGTCACTAAAAAGGTCGTAATATTGAAAAAGACAGAAATATACGACTCAGATTTTATTCTCAAACGTTCATCGAAATGTTGTAGGTATCCAACTCCGTGAAGAAACTCCTGCCTGTCTATGATGTCTTTTGTGAGACGGCGAATGAGGACCTTAATTCGTTTATTTATATCGGCAAAAGTTTTCTGTTGTTTTTGAACTTCGTTTCCTGCTTTGAATTTGTAAGGTTCGGCAGCTTGCAGCGCTTCTTCTTTTTGAATCGCGGCCAGCAAACGCCAAAGTGACGGGAGTAGCGAGTCCACCATTCCTTTGGATTGCCCTGTGCCACCCTTCAATTTTGTTGTTGTTCCTCGGCATTCCCTCTTCATTGCGAATTCATTCCACATGTCTTTTCCGAAATTTGGTGCTCTCCTCTGCCCCCTCCGTCCCTACCTTCCAATGTAGGTATCTTCAAAGTAATTGTAATAGGTATCTTCAAAGCTCTTTGCACCACTAGCTCTCCTTGGGACTAGCCCTTATGAGTTACTAGCTATTTCAACATTAGCTTTTAGATCACTAGCTCTTTTGTGGCACTAGTTCAAACGTACTAGCTCAAATGGCACTAGCTGTTTTGTCGCTAGCTATTCGGACACGAGGCCCACTGTTCAGCTCAACAACACGGATCCATTCATATGCAGCAGGAGGTCCTTTTTCGATCAGGACATAACGTTGACCTGAGGTCGTTTTAACGTTAATTCTGAATGGTCACATTTTAACTCATGTGACGAGTCTCAAAGAGATAAACACGGTGGTGACAAGACAACATATGTAAATACCATACAAATTCACGGAATCTAAAGTTATTGCAAAGCAAATGTTTCGGCAGAATCTGTCCAGTTAGCTGTTTGCCTTCTACGGGCAAAACATAGACCGGAGATGAAATATGACGCGAAGCTAGCGAAAGAGCGTTGAAAGAGCTATCGAATATGTTTTCTGCTTCACTGTAGCCCTTCTATTGGTGGGTTCCCAGTCGCTAACGTATAACGTATACTAAAGTACCGCTGAGGTATGCTTTCGACCCCTGATCGATCTAGAGGTTTGCGGAAAAAAGAGCATGCTGCCCGTGACGAGAGAAAGCCGATAATACCCATTTACAAGATTTCGGGTCATCTCAGGGCTCAGGTCATCGCCCATAAGTAGGGAAACTCGGGACCTGCTAGAACTTTGTGAATGTAAGTTGTGATGGTTTTTCGAGGTTCTGATTACGAATGTTATCTTAGTTTTGAACGAAGATGATGACTCCATGCATTTGGGGTAGATCATGTCAGGTCAGATCGACCAGTACCTAATAGTGGATGACCACCACTGATTGCTTCCTAACATGTTATACATATGTATAAGCAACACAACTACTTCTTAAATGTTCAGATGGGCGCTAAGTTCAAAATCAGCTCCAAAACTATCCTATACCTAAATTAAAAGCATGTTATCAAAAAGTGAACCAAGGTCATCTTTATTTGAATCAGGGATATCGATTTATTTTTAAGTAGGTGATTAACTCGAGCACACCGGAAGTTTCGTTGCAATCGGCTCCTTTTTGCGCGACTTCTTTGCGAAAGCCCGAGACGGTTTCATCTGACTCCCTTTCCCCTACAATCTACATGTGCACTGTACAGCCAGTTGTGACGGTAGCCATGGGGCTGAGGCTAGTTTGTAGTTTTGTAGTTAGGTACTGATCCGACGAATCGACTGCGACCATTTTTTTTTCAACGATCAGACGAAAGCTCGGGGCAGTTTTGGCGCGTCCAATCTTTTGAGGGATAAAAAGGTACTAGAATGGTGGCTACTTAAAAATATTGTTGTGCTGGTGTTCCCCGCCCACAGCTAATTGAACTTTAGGTAATTGGCTAATTGGCTTTAGGGAGCTCTTGAAGCGATTCTGAATCTGATGTATTTGTTGGTGTTGCTGACGCCTGCTTCACTGACATAAAAGCTAAAAAAGCATACTCAGCATCGCAAAATGTGGGGGGGTCGACACCCCCAGTTTTCAAGAGTGGGGGGGTCACGACCCCCCCGACCCCCCCGTCGGCGACGCCCCTGTACTGCTCAGTATCAGCTGCCAATCCGCTTAAAATGAGAGTCCATGAATCGAAGACAGGTTTATTACACCTTGTATGCCTAACGTTGCTCGGCAACATCCAAACCTATTGCTAATCATGAGACAAATCAGCCAGTGAACACAGAGAGAAGGCTCGATTTGCTGTCAATCGATGCCAATAGTTGATACTATAGTAAATACCTAATGAGATGGTACGATGCCCGCACCAATTTATTGATATACATTCCGACACTGGCGGAGGGGTAGAGATGTTACGAACACATCATAGATAGCAAAGGTTAGCATTCTTGAATATATTTTATTCACCGAAAATACCACAAGACTGGCTCATTAGTCTTAACATAAGCCTAGGTGACTCCTCCACACTGGAATGATCTTACACCGTAAGCTCCCTTTCGCCGTGACTTTAGCTTACAGTCAAGTGATGTACAATGTATCTACAACGTTATGGAATGATCTTACACCGTAGGCTTCCTTTCGCTGTGACTTTGGCTTACAGAGCAGTGATTTAAAATGTATCTACAATGTTATCTACAAATCCACAATGTAATCCAACTGAAAGCAGCTACCTAACTGACGCTAATGAACTGGCAAATTACAAATCTTGTCACTGCCAAAGGAACAATGGCGATACCAGTACTTCTAAATAGATTCTCATCACGAACAACATAAGGTACCGATTAA